GTCATAACAAGAGGCTGTCAGAGGGACTGCAAACCGGATTTTTTAACATTTATTTGTGTCCTGGCATTTTTCAATATCACAAGGACCATAACTCCTGAACAGTCAAAGTGACAATCATCAATATTGAACTTGACCTCCATTTTGTCATCAGTAACAACATATTAAAATTTGAAAAGCTTTGGTTGAACGGTTCATGAGTTAAAGCACGGACACGACTGGAAAGACCATTTTTCAATCTTTCAAGAACCATAACTCCTGAACGGTAAAAGTGAAAATTGTCAATATTGAACTTGACCTCCATTTTGTCATCAGTAACAACATATTAAAATTTGAAAAGCTTTGGTTGAATGTTTTATAAGTTAAAGCACGGACACGACTGGAAAGACCATTTTTCAATTTTTCAAGAACCATTATGAACTCCTGAACGGTGAAAGTGAAAATCGTCAATATTGAACAACATTTTAAAATTTGAAAAGCTTTGGTTGAATGGTTCATGAGTAAATGCAGGGACACTGTCTGGCAGCCGCCAGCCCGCCATACATCCCAAATCAATATCCGATTTTCCTTCGGAAATCCGGTTAAAAATTACACAAGCAGGGCTCACAATACTTAAGAATCATAAGGAGAGGTAACCTCTCTCTTTGAATCTGATAGGGAGAAGTGCTGAGACTTAAACGATTTGAACAATACAAAACAAAATCAAATAAACAGAATACAAATGACAAGATATATCATTATAAAAGGCAAACATTATAGCCTCACTAGCGAACAAGCACTTTTCCTTTAAATTTCAAACTTAACTTTTGAGCTCATTATTCTTCATTTTTCAATTACCAAAAAAACAATCTTTGACAAGCAATTTGGAATGGAATATGACGTTTTGAATGCAATAAATGGTTCAAACATCTGATTCAACTTACAGTCGAACCTCGTTAAGTCAAATTCGAAGATTCAGGCCTAAGTATTCGATTTATCTGAGGTCAAGTGTGTTGTAATAAATTTGGAATGTAGTATGATATTTATGTAAACTAAATATTTTGAACATTGTGCCTTTTTTATAAGACAATTTATGATTGTGTATTCAAGCTCAATATTTTTTAGTCCATCATAGTTATTAAACACACAAGTATAGATACAAAACATTCAAAACTAGATGTATCGAAACGACACATTAATGGCCCTGTCGCAAAAAGTCGAAAGCCTGATATTTCAACAACAAGTGTGGACACAGTCATGCATGGATAGTAATCAGCATTCAAGACCAATACAGGTTTGACAAACAATTTCCTTTAACAACGAGTAGTTAAATTTCAAACTATCGGCAGGGGTTAAAAAATTTTGTTACAGGTAACTAGCCCAGGAATTATTTGCAGCAGGATATTACTAGCCCTGTTGGAAGAACTGCTAGCCCATCAAAACTGACCTGCTAGCCCATCAAAACTGACCTGCTAGCCCATCAAAACTGACCTGCTAGCACAAGAATGCCTTACAAATCAGAGTTTGCTGCACAATTACAAAGTGGGTGTCCCTTGTTTTGAAGGTGGCATTATACACTGTATTCAATAATTTTTGTTGACCTGCTATTTTTTCTGTTGGTAAACAAACAGTGGTGCTTGTCCTAACTTAGTTGTTCCCACATACAAAGCAGACTTTTTATTGGCATGCTCGGGAAAATAACGGCAATATTCTCTGTTTTTTTCATCAGCAACCCGGCTGACCTTGCCCAGGGGAATCTTTCTTTTGGGGACACTATAAATTTTCCTTTCCGCTATTCCCGGTCGTATTTGGCATTTTTGGGGGATGAATTGTCAGTCTCATTACCCCTTCATCTACAGTTTCTCGTTCTAAAACTGATGAAGTTCCTGGGGTGCCCGTACTAAAATATTTAGAAATATTTGGTTGCATGGATTGGTTTCGTGCTCAACAGCTGTCTGATAAGACAGGTCAATACCGATCAATACATCATACCCCCAGTACTGTTAATTGAAAATCTCGGCATAAGAAATGTACAATACCCCCCCCGTACTGAGAAATCGATATTTAAAGTACGAGAATTGTGATCAATATATGATACTGGGCCGCCCAGAGTTATTTGTTCTATTTTTAAAATATGTACAACAGGACCTGTACAAACCAGTTCAAATTCTTGGATTCCCGGATGACGTAATTGAATCTGATTGGCTAAGATAGAATAGTGATGAAGGGATTTTCGACTTTCTATTTTGGAAACGCCAAGAATTTTTTCTTACTAGTCCGTCGGGCATATTGGGTTAAAAATTTTGATTGCCCGAGGCGTAAATGCTCTAGTCCCGGGCGTTGGGCTAGTGGATTTTTTAACCCCTGTATCGGCAATCAGGAAGTGGATGCACTGCAGATCTAAAAATTGTTAATGCAGTACAACTCAACATGATCAAGCTCTGGACCAAATATCAAATTATTCCCTTTCATAGAAGCCAAAAAAATGATGAAAATTTTCTTTGTACATTTAGTTAAAGTTCAAATTATTGGCAAACAGGAAGTGGCTGCACACCAGATCTAAAAATTGCTTACACATTACAACTCAACATGACCAAACTCTGGACCAATATAAAATCATTTCTTCATAGAAGACTAGAAATCTTTGATGATGGTTCGATATGCAAGGTCTTTCAGACTGACGAAATGAAGGAAGGAGTTGAGTAGTTACTAGACCTGCTTTCACCATTGGTGACACAGTTTAAAATCAGCAGAGCGGAACAAAAGTGAACTTGATAAGTAACTCATCATGGAGAACTCACATACCAAAAATCAGTCCAATATCTGAAGCGGTTATGAAAAAAAGTCTGTATAACTGTTATTTTCAAGAAATTTTCAAAGTCTAAAGCCTGTAATACCAGCTAAAATCAGCGGAGCGGAACAAAATGTAAACTTGATCTGTAACTCATCATGGAGAACTCACATACCAAATATCAGCCCATTATCCTAAAGCGGTTATTAAAAAAAAGTCTGCATAACTGTTATTTTCAAAGTCTAACGCCTGTAATACTGGCTAAAATCAGCGGTCATTAATGAAACGTAAACTTGATCTGTAACTCATCATGGAGAACTCGCATACCAAAAATCAGTTCAATATCTGAAGCGGTTATGAAAAAAAGTCTGTATAACTGTTATTTTCAAGAAATTTTCAAAGTCTAAAGCCTGTAATACCAGCTAAAATCAGCGGAGCGGAACTAAACGTAAACTTGATCTGTAACTCATCATGGAGAACTCACATACCAAAATCAGCCCAATATCCTGAAGCGGTTATTAAAAAAAAGTCTGTATAACTGTTATTTTCAAAGTCTAAAGCCTGTTATACCGACTCAGGTGAAATATGTTCATCACACTGAAGTGCTGCTTGGATGTTCAACAAAGGTGTTAATTACCGGCCACTATTAACATGTCATTTTAACTGTTATACAAACAAGTCTGATTACACAGCTTTAAACACTTATGAATATGATTAGGTTACATAAGAAAAAAACATCTGATTTGAAGATTTGTCTTTACATTGTAAGTCTGCATTTTTGGAAATTTCTTAATTTCGAACTTCGAGACATCAAGGCCTAAGGCAATTTACATAAATTTTTCATTGAATGGACTATAAAATTTATTCGACTTAACCGAGAATCCAAATCATCTGAGTACGACTTACCAGAGGTGAAAATGCATTGATTAAACAGGAATTTTGCCAGGACCGAGCAGTTACTTCTACTCATCCGAGTTTTCAACACAACGAGGTTTGACTGTAATAACAATTTTTTTACATTCGTCTCCATTATTTATATGAAGATAAATCGTGGAAAAACTAATTCAACTCAAGGTTATACTGAAAAATGACTAAGATTTCAGATATCACATGCATATTCAGCCTTGTGTTCTTAGTTTTACTGGTGTCAAGTCAACATCCTGTGTTACCATAGATACCAACCCCCTTTTGGTGCAATCAGTAAACAAGTATTAAGATTTCTGTAATTTGTGTATTATGTATTAATGAACATAAATCCATTACAAATAGACTGTTAATCGTAACACCATAATTTTCGTCCAAAATTAATAACAATGACAGGAAAATCAAAACGGTTGGTAATTATGTATTACAAAATGTGGGCTTTTAACATAAGTAAACTCACTTAGAGTGTTATCACATTAATAACTAGATGTGCTGAAATAATATGAATGGCCCCGCTGGCAAAAAAAGCTTGAAGCCATTTTTAGAAAATGGAAATTTGAAAATGAAAGTCCATATAACTATTATTTTCAAAGTCCGAAGCCTTCAATTTTGGCAAAAATCAGTCCAGCAGACCCAAACATAAACTCGATCTGTAACTTATCATAGTAGGCTGACTGTGTGATATGGGCTTTGCTCATTGTTGAAGGCCGTACGTTGACCTATAGCTGTTAATTTCTGTGTCATTTGGTCTCTTGTGGAGAGTTGTCTCAAGAAATCATATTACCACATCTTCTTTTTTATATTTACATACTAAAAATTTGTAAGGGGTTCCACGGACCCCGTGTCTCGCCTACAATTACTACTGTAAGGGTAAAAGTGTAATGTTGACTTAAAAAGCAAGTCCATTTATCAGTAAAATACAGAATTAAAAAAAAATTCAAAATTTTTCTCTATATGCTATTTCATGGTCTTGAAGATTAGCTTCTCTTTCATAACAATCCATGAAGGCTTACAAATGTAAAATCCATATGTCTCGCTTTTCTGACATAAATGTCGCAGGCTCGACAAAAATCAGCTCAATATGTAAAGGCGTTTAGAAAAAAAGTCTGTATATATCAGTTTGTTGCGGAATGATGGAACGACGAAATGAAGGGATGACGTATAAGGGTAAAATTATATATCCAGACCACTTTGTAGCGGGCCATAAAAATTACATCACAACTATGTTACCAATAATATGAAAGTTAACCCTTGCCTGAGAGAATAGAATATATATCCATTTATTTAAAAAAAAAAACAAGTCTCAAACCTGCCAGCAAGATCCACCAAGTTTACTACAGCTGTACGTGTCATGCTTTCACCAACATCATTAGGACATTTCTGTGTGAAATTTATTCCAATAATGGTGTGAGCTCGACTGAAAAAAAGAACTTAAATATTATCTGTGTACTTTAAAGTTTTCAAAAAATATATAAAAACTTTGAGAAATTGATATTAAGTACTTCCTTTTGATTCAACCATACCAGATTGGCATGATATTTTCCTATTTGGAACTGCATCTTAAACTCGCTAACTTAATAAAATTTTTATTGTTAATGGAGAGTGAATCACCATGTTCATATGGCTTAGGATTCTGGGAAATCAATTCTGACGAAACTGTCTGCATGCTGTTTATCAAACTGAATGCAAAACATAAAGATATGTGTGTCTAAAATTAAACTTGTTTTTAAAGATATTAAAGTAATATAGATTTAGTCTTAGATGCATGATTTTTTATTAGTTGTTAGTGGCTTTGGACTAGCTGTCAGTAACTGCGAGTACTCTCAGATCTGTACTTAGTGTCTTTTTGTTGTTTGGATGTACAAGTACCCGGCCATGTCCACTTGTATTTGTAGTATTTGTATTTTTATCCATCTGATGAGTTAAGCCTCTTTCAACTGATTTTAATAGTTCGTTCTTATGTTGTACTGTTACACCACTGTCTCAGGTTAGGGGAGGGTTGGGATCCCGCTAACATGTTTAACCCCACCACATTCTGTATGTATGTGCCTGTCCCAAGTCAGGAGCCTGTAATTCAGTGGTTGTCGTTTATGTGTTACATATTTGTTTTTCGTTCATTTTTTGTACATAAATTAGGCCGTTTGTTTTCTCGTTTGAATTGTTTTACATAGTCATTTCGGGGCCTTTTAAAGCTAACTGTGTGGTATGGGCTTTGCTCATTGTTGAAGGCCGTACAGTGACCTATAGTTGTTAATTTCTGTGTCATTTGGTCTCTTGTGGAGAGTTGTCTCATTGGCAATCATACCACATCTTCTTTTTTATATTCCATCCTTTTTGTGGCTATGTATCCTATAGCATTCATAGCTGTTATTTACTTTTTATCTTACCTGCTGGTGGCATTCATATTGGTAGATGCCACTGTTCTGTTTCTTGTTCCCTCATTTATTTTAGAATCTATTTCTTCATAACTGTTCACTTGTTTAGAGGTCATTTGTTCAACTAAGAAATAAAAAAAATGTTTCAACAAAATAAAACAAGATATCCATTTCACATGGGCTTCAGAAGATCTATCATTAGCACCTAAAAAACATAAAGAAAACAATGACCCCAAAGATAATTAAAGATTGGGCCATAACAGATGAACCCTTTAGACAGGAGTGTCCCATACTTCCTTTCTTTGACATGACATAGATGACCTATTGCAAGATACAATTTCTACCCCTCTATTTTTTTGCTTTATCAATTAAAGTCTATTTATCCTTCCTTCTTCCCAGTTGACAAATTTTTCACAACTTACTAGATTTATAGCTCAAATTGAATGTGCATGTAATATTTGTCACTGGATGTTTAGCAACTAATTATCAATCAAGTAGATGAGCCTACTTTAAGTGTTTGAGAAATAGGATGTTATTTTGTGAAACATAAATTTTACAAAATTCCGTTGAAGTTTTATTTCAATGGCTATAAAACCATCATTGAGAGAGTGTTTCCCAATCATAAAAGAACTGAGTTCCAATGTCCCCCTGGTTGCTCATAATTTATCTGTCAAAGAGAAATAACTTTTTTTTTTGTGGGGGGTCTTTTTCTTTTTTTTTCATCTAAAAACATCTTTATTGCACTTTTCTTTACTTATAAAACAAATATCTTGACAGACAGCAGTTGGCCCCGAGTGAGAGTCCCTGTAAATTAGTCATTGGATCACCAGGGACATTACCCAATGATTGAATTAATAGTTATACGTAGTTAGTTTTACAAATCATAATTCAATACACAAAATTTTTGGAGTATAAAGGTGTTATACCACCAAATCAAAGTACATGTACGTCACATCAGGTTTCATATGAAAAAGGATAAAAAAAAAATTTCCCTTGAATTTGACAGTTGTAGGAAGTTAACCCTGCATTTTATTACAGAAAAAAAATTCTGAGTCATTAACATATATCTTGGGTGTTTCAAAGCATCATTTTTTTTATTTGGTGTTTCTATAAAATATTAGTAAACTTGAGATTACATGGTTACTAAAGATTGTAAACAGGACACCACAGCTCTAAAGAGCCTGTGTCGCTCACCTTGGTCTATGTGCATATTCAACAAAGGACACTCTCCAACATTGTAGACGAGAACAGAAATCATGACAAAAATCTCTGTTTTGTTGATCTTGTATTGCTGATCATTTAGTCTGTTTAGTTTCTATCTATTTTCTTTATTTTTTGCTCAAAACACAAAAGAGGGTAAACAAATCCTCATTTATCGGCAATCACTCCTATAAAGATTGACAGCCTACTAACTATATCGGCAAAATTTAACTTGTGAGTAGATCTTGCCTTGCTGATCATTTTTGTGATTTAAAGTGTCTATTCATCTATTATAATTTTTATCATATATTGTAAAACCCCAAAAAAATGGTGAAAATCGTCATTAAAGGGCAATTACTCCAATAAGGAGTCATCGGACGATTTCCTCCATACTGTCTTAGTTGTTGATCATTTTTGCTCATTTAAGTTTCTATCTTATCTATTATAGTTTTTACGATATAAGGCAAAAATGCAAAAAATTGGTAAAAACTCTAAAAGGAGTCAACTGACGATTTCGACCATGCAAACTTATTTGTAGAACTTGTCTTGCTGTTCATTTTTGCATTTTAAAGTTTCTCTTTATCTATTATAGTTTTCAAGATAATAGGCAAAAATGAAAAAAAATGGTAAAATTTGTCATTTAAGGGCAATAACTCCTATAAAAAGTCGTCTGACAGTTATGATGTATATAGACAACTGGTCAAGCTCAACATTCTGAACATTTTTCCTCTGTCAGATTTTTTCTATTTATAACAGTTTTCAAAATAATAGACAAAACTTGCATTTTACCCCCTTGTTCTATTTTTAGCCATGTCGGCCATCTTGGTTGGCAGGCGGGGTCATCAGACAATTATTTTCAAACTAGATACCCCAATGATGATTGTGGCCAAGTTTGGTTAAATTTGGCCCAGTAGTTTCAAAGGGGAAGATTTTTGTAAAAGTTAACAGACGATGACGGACCCCAAGTGATGAGAAAAGCTTACTTGGCCCATTGGGCCAGGTGATCGAAAAAAGTGGTAAAAATTTGATTGGTTAACTTCCAGTGATGGTTACTATCGTATACCCAATGAAAAGTTATGTGAAGTTTTGTCTGTAGTACTGGACAGGATAAAACTTGACTCATGCCAAGTATTTCTTTATTTGAAACAAATATAAATTCTGCACAACTTTTTGAAAAGTGCCAATTTAACAAAGACTAATAGGGGAAAATCAATGGTGGTATTACTCCTAAAAGTAACATGATTAAGGAATTTGTACAGTTTTGTCCTTATTTGTTTCTTGGAACAAGTAATAATCATTGACCTTAACCTTTAAAAAACCATTATCAGTTATCCTGTTGAATGTGTCTTATTGACTGTTCTTACAAACAGCTTCAGTTTCAACTAAATATTGTAAGTGATGAGTCTTGCAATCTTCATAAGTTTGTATAAACATTTTGATCAAGCTGTCATATGACAATAACTATAATTATCTTAAAGGAACGTAGGCTTGAGAGTGCTTATAATTCAATTTTCCAAATATTCAATTTTTCCAAGAGATAGAACTCTTTTAAAAATAGTTCATTGACACTGATTTTCATACTTGTCCACGCAAGACATTGCTGATATATGATGATGATGGATGGCTGCTTAACATCCAGCCGCAAATCAATATGCATATTCTGGACGAGAACATGTTAATGTAATATGAATATTAACCCTGCTTTGTACTAGACCGACACGCTGAGCTGGATTTTTAACGTGCTAGTTCACAAGGTAACGGTCCGCAGGAAAACTTGTCACCTTACACGGACACATTATTCTGACTCTGAGCCAACCAGTCTTTGCTCTTACTCCTTAATGCTGAGTGCTTAGTGGAGAAGCAGCAAATACCAATTTTAAAGTCTTTAGTTTGACCTGGCTGGGGTTCGAACCCACAACCTCCCACATTCGAGGCAAACACGCTACCACTGAGGCAGCAGTCATTGCTGATATAAACCTTTAACATAAATTTCATAAATATCTGGCAAGAATTGTACACGAGAGCCCTTACAATGCAATTTTCCATATAATCAATATTTCCATGGGCATAACTCATTTAAAAATAATTCATTTGCACTGATTTTTGAACTTGTCCAAGACATTGCTGATATAAATTTGATAAAAATCTGGCGAGAATTGTACAGGCTTACAATGCAATTTTCCATATAATTAATATATCTAAGACGTAACTCTTTTAAAAATAGCTGATCGGCACTGACTTTCTACCTTGTCTGAGATATAGGTGATATAAACTTCATAAAAAATCTGGCAAGATTTGTACTCATGAGAGCGCTTACAAGACCTGACAGATAGACGTGTGGAAGCTAATTCTATGTCCCACGCAGTGTTGTACAGGGGACAATACTAACTGTCCAATGTTGAAATATACTGAACATGAAATAGTATCACTACAGATACTAATATTTTATAAAAGACACAAGAAATATAACAAATACCATAAAATCCCTTCTTTGGATCCTGTCTAACCTTTAACCCTCCTTTAACGCTCATGGTCTTAGGGTTTAAAAGGTCACGGACCTGTTCATTGTAAATCTCCAACATGCTCAATGAAACCTACAAATAAATAATATTAAGACATTACTGTAATTAAATTTCATCAAATAAAAGCCGTGGGGACTACTAATGTTAGGAAAATAAATAAATTCATCAGTCACTGGGCTTCTGTTTTCAACACTATAATACCTTCAATTGGTAATTACGTTCCAATAAAGATAAAATTATGAAAAAATTTCAATGCAAATAACTATTCATTTGACAATTAACCGATAACAGTCTTTAATATGTTAATTGCCAAGGTGTGGGTCAATTCTACTTGGTTTACAATAACAATTGCCGCTGGTTCCCCCCTTTTTGAAAATCCTGGATCCACATCTAAAAAGCTTACAGGTTCCTTAATTGTTAAGTGCTCTAGGTATGATATAACTGATTACCATTCATAGAATGCCTCATTAAATTTCAAAAGATATAGGCCCCCACAGAGCCTATATAGCTCACCTAGCACTTTTGCTGAAAATAGATTGAATACAATGCAACAAGATTACTTGGCGACACCATGAGGATGGTAAATCTTGAAAACTGAGCATTTTTGCCCCTGTCAGATTTTCTTTGTCTATATATGGTTTAAAAATATAATATAAACTTTAATCTCATGATATTATTAATATGTAAAGCAGCTAAATGTAGATATTGAAACTATCAATGTTAATGAGAATAAAAATGTTTTAATTAAGAGGTATATATGCAATTTTGGAAAGATAATCTTCTATAGAATGCTACAGTTAAAAAGGGTAAATTATGAGCTTATTTCAAATTTAAGGATATTTTCAAAAGATAGACTTATCTTAATGTTATAAAGAATTTCGAAACTAGAAAGCACCTCACACAAATATGAATCAGTGCTCATAAATTAGCTATTGAGCATGGTTGTTATAAAAAGATTGATAAAGATAAAAGACTTGGTAAATTTCTTTCTTTAAATTCAATTGAAGATGAAATTCATTTTCTGATGGATTGTCCAGCATTTGAACAACAACAACAATTTCTGCTAAATTCTGCTTTAAAAATATGTATTAATAATTTTTAAAATCTAAATACAGAAAACAGATTTACTTGGCTTCTTTCTTGTGAAGATGGAGAATAAAATTGAGAATGGAAGTATGCATCACTGTGGCTTTAACTTGTTATAAATGTTTTACAATAAGAAAACACTGCTACAGTTAAATCCATTTTATCATAAGCATTATCATTATTGTTTCTTTACTTAATGTCCATTTGTAATCGTTATATGTAACATAACCTGTATGGGCAGATAATTGGTTTTAAACATGTCCTGTATGGGCAGGTAATTGGTTTAATAAAGTATTCATATTCATATTTGTGTAAGACAATTTATGCATTTTACCCAAATATAAATACTATGATCATAAAAATTATTTTCAATATTTGAAAGTGATTTTAATTCTACAGATGCATCAGTGCATGGTGAGTGAACCAAAAAAACCAACATAAGAAATTACAAGATATGTTTGACAATTGTTTGAGGATTAAAAAAGATTTTAAAAATCTACTTCTTTTATGTTGAATCATGTGTAACAATAATTAAACCCACAACTACTTCCATGATCAGGGTGTTTGAATTTTGATAAATCTTTTAATTAAACAAAGGTAAAAGTGATATATATAACTTTGTTATCACCGAGTGAGATTTACAATAGAGATCGTGACTGTTTACTTTGTATCCGAGGTAAACAATCATCCACCTTGACTTTAAATGTTTAATGTATTTTAAACCATGTCATGTATTGATTATAAATAATTACAAGAAAAGTGAGGAAATAAGATTAATATATATAACTCCTGATACACTTTTATAATAATTTCAAATAAAAAAGTTTTTTTTTACTCATAAGTCATGTAAGTAAATGTATGCATATATATATCATGTACCGGTATATATACTTTTACCCCATCATAAAGCTGTTCAGCTGAATAAAATTAAAGGCAAATAATATGCCAGAAAGATGATCAACAGTGAAATTGTCCTGTTATAGGAATCCTAATTATGCTTATAAGATACATCAATTTATATATCATAACTACAGTAAATTCCTGGAGCTTTATGATATCTTAACAAAATACCAAACTCAGTAAACTGTCAGAATAAAAAGAAAACGTTTGAAAAAATTTCTTTTCAACTTATGCTTGTGCTAAGAACACAGGTTTCTAAAGTTTCTCTATTTTAAAGAGACTTCTGCAAGCCTTAATGAAGTCAAAGATCACTCTTAAATGTTTTTATTTCAATATGTGACTTCATAATTTTAACTTGGTGGTTTCCCTTTTTTTCAGTCACAATTTTAATTGGATATTTTTGCAATGCTATATACTGTTTATCCTTGACTAAATTAAGCATATTGTAATAAAAGATAATTCTTCAATAGCTTATTAAAATATTGACAGTTGTTGATTTAATTAAAAAGATCAAGAGTTAAAGCTATTTAAACTTTGATCAAATATGTATGAAAGTTTAAATCCCAAATTATTATGTGTACTTTCTTATTTATGTAGATTTTCTTCCCCTTGAGAGTTAATAGACAACCTTCGAGTTTGTTGCATTTCCTTCAAAAACTTTGGTTATAGAGAACATCATTCGTGCGTTTAGGGACATCGTAATATCCTTCCCATGTTGAGCGAGTGGTTGAAAAATATAATGCTGTATTCCACGAATTATTTGGCAAATTAAATTCTTATAATTGATAATCAGCACTGCTGTCATTAGGGATTTGTGATTAAGTACCTACAGAACAAACATTATTTCTAGTTTATCCTGCACAATGACGATCACGAAGACACTTTATGAACTTTAATAGTGCAGGGATACAGGCGACCCCTATATCTGGTAAATGACGTCATAAAGGCACGCATAATTGACGAATTTTTCTGGTGTAGGACATAACTCGAAAGTGGTCTATTGTATCTGTATCTGTATGAGAACGTTGTGGGTACCAATACTGGTAATTGATGTTTGTAAGTTGTATAAACCATGCCAAAATGATTAAGATTTAAACTAAAATGGTATTACAAGCAAAATGTGAAAAAGTCCTAAAATTGTAGGTAACATTCCATAATCAACTAGATATCATTGAGATGGGAGCCATCTCTGTGGGCCCCGCTGTGAATAATGTGTGGTAAAAAATTTGTATCTTTATCATTGGACATGGGGTTGTCAACTGAAACCAAAGTTTTTGACCTTGACCTTTGACCTAGGAAGTTGTACATAAATTATGACACACCCTCTGGTGTTGGTTTATATACATATCAAGTATAAACTTTGAAATCATAACGGTTCTCAAGATATAGAACGGACACAATCTTTACCATAGGACATTGGGTTGTCAACTAAAACCAAAGTTTTTGACCTTGACCTTTGACCTACATGTAGAAAGTTGTACATACATTATGACACACCCTCTGGTGTTGGTTAATATACATATTAAGTATAAACTTTGAAATCATAACGGTTCTCTAGATATAGAGCGGACACAATTTGTTACGGTCGGACGGACAGACTGATCACTATAGGGCATCCGCCATTCGGCAGGGCCCTAATTTCAGATAGTCTCTTTATCCATCAATATTATCTGTAAATAATTACTTACAATTTTATTTGTAAAGATGTTACATTTTAACTTTTTATATCCCACGGCTCTTGTCTATGTTTTGGTTGGGTGGAGAGGCATTTTATGTAACATACTGTCTATTACACAAGTATAAGGTGTTAGTTCCTCACCTGATACTTTTCATTTTATGTAATATACTGTCTATTACACAAGTATAAGGTGTTAGTGATCTCACCTGATATTCTTCATTTTCTCCTGCTGTTGCTCTTTTCTTCTCAATTCCATCAAACAAGTCATCACAAAACAAAGGTACAATTCCCTGGTTTTTGCCATATCCCACAACAGAGTAGGACTTTCCACTACCTGTTTGTCCATAGGCAAACAATGAACAATTATAACCCTTCCATGCATTGTCTATTATTCCTTTTCCTAAATCATTGAACACTGTTTGCTGAAATTAATTTACAATAGTGGAATCAAAGCATCAAACAAATGTGAATTAGTTAAAACTATCGTGCTCAAGGTTTAGACACAGGACATACTACAATGTCATTGCTTTAGATAAAATATTAAGCTCATGGGTAAGCATATTATAAAAACAAGGTTAAGAAACAGGTTGTACTACAATGTCATTAATGCTTTAGTTAAAACTGTTATGCTCATGGGTAAGAGTATAATACAAACAAGGTTAAGAAACAGGCCTTACTACAATGTCATTGCTTTAGTTAAAACTGTTATGCTCATGGGTAAGAGTATAATACAAACAAGGTTTAGAAACAGGTTGTACTACAATGTCCTTGCTTTAGTTAGAACTATTATGCTCATGGCTAAGAGTATAATACAAACAAGGTTTAGAAACAGGCCTTACTACAATGTCCTTGCTTTAGTTAAAACTGTTATGCTCATGGGTAAGAGTATAATACAAACAAGGTTAAGAAACAGGCTGTACAACAATGTCGTTGCTTTAGTTAGAACTGTTATGCTCATGGGTAAGAATAATACACAAACAAGGTTAAGAAACAGGTTGTACTACAATGTCATTGCTTTAGTTAGAACTATTATGATCATGGGTAGGAATATTATACAAACAAGGTTAAGAAACAGATCATACTACAATGTCATTGTTTTAACATACATAACATAACAAAGCAGACAAAGCTTTCATCATGTCACAATTGGGCAGATTACAATTATCAAAAACATTAATTATAATCTTAGAAAAGAAAAAAAACCACTATTTTGTTCATTTAATTTGTACTTCTTAAATGAAAAAAGGAGATATGGGCTACATGTCTATAAGATGACAGAAAACATTAAAATACAGACCTTTTCCACTATTTTTTTTACTTCTTAAAATATGTACATTCAGTAAGCATACAATATCAGTACTGTTGCTAATAATTTTATTAATCTAAATAAACTGCTTCGCTGAGCGCAGCTGGATACGCCCGCAGAGGTCTAACCCTGAACAGTTGGGGCAAAAATGGACACAATATTCAAGCTTGATACAGGTCTGAATTTGGATTGTAATTAAATATTTGACATACATCTATCATAGGTTTCTGAATAAATGTAGTCAAAGAACTTGAAGTTGGTTATATGAATTGAATTTATATTCAATTAAAGATTTCTTGCTGTTGTGCCATACACTGTGCTGTTGCGCAATACTTAGTAAATCTGTTGTCAGACTATAAACAAATAAAATTTATAAAATTCTAAAGGGAGCTTACATCAATAGATATAAACAGTTCACCAAAGTTTCATACGAATTGCTGAAAGCATTTTTGAGTTTTTGTCTGAAAACTGGAAAATCCCCCCTTTTTTAATGAATAAACCCCATAATTCAGAAATGTAAAATCTAAAATTTATAAAATTCTAAAGGGAGCTTACATCAATAGATATCAACGTTTCATCAAAGTTTCATGAGAACTGCTGAAAGCATTTTTGAGTTATTGTCCCAAAACTGGAAAATCCCCCTTTTTTTTTATGAATAAAACCCCATAACTCAGAAACGTAAAATCTAAAATTTATAAAAATCCAAAGGGAGCTCATGTCAATAGATATAAACAATTAACCAAAATTTCTTGCAAGTTGGTGAAAGCATTCTCGAGTTATTGTCCGAAAACTGGAAAATCCCCCTTTTTTTAATGAATAAAACCCCATAACTCGGAAACATAAAATCTAAAATTTATAAAAAACGAAAGGGAGCTCATGTCAATAGATATAAACAATTCACCAAAGTTTTAAGCAAATTGGTTAAAGCGTTTTTGAGTTAATGTCTGAGGTATTGACGACGGACGGACGGACAGACGGACGTACAACGGTATACCATAATACGTCCCGTAAACAGGCGTATAAAATGACTATACCTGATCAGCATATTTTGTTCCAGTTGGTTCTAGATATCCATCAGGTCGTTCTTTAAATTCATCATGTGACCAATAAGAGAAGTCGAAGCTGAACCTGCGTGGGTCAGCTGACAAGTTTTCAGGGTCCTTAATTTCAGTCTGGTTCCCTGTCATGTTAATGATAACTGTAGCATTTCTGTTCTTCTCACGTTCATTGTATCAATGGTTAAGGAGTGTTTGTTATTGGTTTTATTATTACTGAAAATAGCTAAATTGCAAATTTGGGATAGTACATGTACATTGTAAAATAAGGTTCAAAAGAACTTATATGATTCAATCACAACATAAATTCTATGATATAGCATATACAATTAATGATTACAGTTCTAGCATTCTGACACTACTTTTCATTCTACTTTAAAGCATTTAATCATTTGTTGATTGTCATTACTCTATGTACAACAAGGTCCAAAAGAAAATCATACCAAAATCCATATACTGTGTCTTAATGCCAGAGGCTTTTCATTTTGCTAACACATTTGTTGATGATTGAAATAATGTACAAGAAGAGTAAAAAAATAAAATGCAGTTTATAAAAATCCAAAGTTTAAAAAAATTACAGGTATAATTATTTCATTCTCATTTAAAACCTATTTGGACCTTCTGTTTGGAAATTCAAGGTTTTTTAAATCATATTAGATTTTTCAGACTATCCCATTTTATATTTGTTTTAATACTTTTTCTCTCAAATCATTTATCTGCTCTGAGACATAATATACATGTATTAACCTATTAACCATCCTCTTTTCAGATCTGCTACAGACTATTCATTCATTCTTTCAAATTTTAGGTAAATACATGTACAAATGTAACTACATGTATTGTCCAGTTATTTCGCACTACTAATGCAAAACATAATTTCATTAAGCCATGTAAGCAGTTGGATAAACAAATATAAAAAATAGTGCATGTTTTTTCAAGTTTTATTTCTTACTTTAAAGATCTTGTTACAGAAATGTTGACATACAAGTGAGAGGTTTAGCAAGCTAAAAAAAAAACAGGTTTAATCCACCATTTTCTACATAAGGAAATGCCTGTACCAAGTGAGGAATATGACAGTTTTTTTCCATTTGCTTGAGCTTTTGATTTTGCCATTTGTTAAGGGACTTTCTGTTTTGATTTTTGCTTGGAGTTCGATATTTTTTTTATTTTACTTTTGACATTCTAATCATGAACCCCATTCATGATGATATACAATATATACATGTACATTTGTACCAAAAAAAGATTTCGTAAAATCCCTGAAATATTCAGAGATTTTGTAAATCACTAGCAGATTTGTTATTTTGTAAAATCCTTGAAATTGTAAGGAACTTTATATAATCACATGTCATGAATATATATATGAAAAGTGTTTTTTTCTAATATAAAATAGATTGTAACATGTTTGAACTATCTTTTTACAGACATTACCACTTTAATCTTTTTTTTTTTAAATACAGCAATTATGAATAAAAGACATGTTTACAATTACAAAGATTACAAACTACTGTAATTACTTTTATATACTACAATTTGGATAACTTCTACAGTGACACAATTACCCTGCCCATGTTAGGCCAACTTAAAACCATATAAATGTCAAGAATGTATCTAAAAAGTATTTCATCTAATATGTAATAACATGTTTAAACTATCTTTTTTACAGACATTACCAGTTAAAACTTATAAAAAAAACAGTGATTATGAATAAAAGACGTTTTCAAAATTTTACAAGGATTACAATTTACTGTAATTACTTTTACATGCTATATAATTTGGATGACTTCTAAAGTGATACAAATTAACCTGTGTATGTTAGGCCCAGTCCTGTTTTGATTCCAGAACAAACGCATTTCACATGATCTAATCAAAACCTAATCAAACACAAATGGCAGATATTTTACCTGCTCTACAATCAACCTGCCCCAAAGGAATTTAAAAAAAAAAATTCACATGCCCACATTGCAGATCTTTATACATGTACATGTACATGTAATACATGTATAAACACAATTTATATTGTAACTTTGACTTTTGATCTAGGATGCAATTAATTATAGAAAATTGTTTGAAATTTTAACAGTATCTAGTGATCTTGTGTGCTTATCTGAAATTTTGATAGCTTCAGATATTGCAGTATCTGAGTTATTGCTTGAACCAAAGTGAGCGACTACAGGAACCAATGGTCAAACTGATCTATATTTGTGTCAATGATGACCTGAATATTAAAATGAATGTCCCATAGCCAGTATTGTTTGGTCTAGGTAATATTTTGTTTGAGTTCCTGTCAATATACATACATGTATAACACATGTACATAATAAACACATCACATCATGCAAAAGTCTTGCCGAAAATATAAAATCACACAGCCCCAAAGCTGGCAGTGAGATTAAGGCTATACCTGTTGTAAGTGTAGAGATATGTGAACACAACAGGTGTCCAGTTTACCCCGACAACAAGGGCAAAAGATGCAACAACCATATTGTGAGGCCAATCTAAAGAACCTTGTCATCTTGTTAAATGCAAACGAAAATCCAGAGAAACAGAATATCATGTTGATGACACACCAGCCTAAGCAGCCATCGTTTAAACATATAAATAGATCATTATTTTTATCTATGTAAGAGCTGAACAACCCTTGTCATATCATTTGACATACGAGTAAATATTGAATGCTAAAAATTTCCATTTTCATATATATTATTAATTATTTTCTCATGATAACAATTTTTAGTATTAAATGCTTAAAATCTGATCAAAATGTCATGTCATATTTCATTTATCATTTATTATGTTTTGCCTCTGAAATATTTTTGTTTTTAAGATGTTGATTACTTACACGCAATTTGTTGAATTTTCTTCAAAAAAGGATATAAAAGGCCGGACTCTGACTGCCACTTTCACGCTTTCTGCCATACTGCAAGTTTCCTCTTCAACAGAGTTTCAGAAAGGTCTTTGTAAAATGTGTTCAAATGTCTAAATAACAATAATCTTGCGTATTTGTACTGGGTTTACCTGTCATATACTGATCACAGCACGTTTACATTGCCGTTCTTAATTTTAACATACTCCTGCGTGTGGAATTTATTTCTTGACAATATAATGAAAATCGCTTCACACATGTACTTTTTTTCGATTATCACTATTGTCGCAAGAAAATATTGAATGTATAGAATTTTGAGGTAAGGTATGCAAACAAGACTGATTCACAGTTTTAATATGAAAAAAGTATTTACGTGGGAGGGAAGTCAAACAGCTAGCTGTCAACAACGGTAACTTCCGTAAATAAAAGAGAGATAACTACTTTTTTTGCGATTCAATCACCAAGTTGTACAGGGTGTTTCAAGGAGGTCCGCGTCTGGCTGTGGGTACAAGTCAATTCGGCACCTATAGAAAAAGTCAAATCGGCACCTGGTCAAATCGGCATCTGTCAAATCGGCACCTATTTAAAGTCATTTCAGCATTTGGTTAGTCAATGTGGTCAACTTTTTTTCTTTCCTTTTTATTTGAGGTATCATATGGGGAGAATAGTTTTTCGGCTTTTTTATTTAACTTTTTTTTTTGAAAAACGTACGTTTGCAGAGGTTAATTAAAAAGATACATTTCCTACATCGTTAAAAAATCAAGGCATGTAATTAAGCAGTTAGAATCTGGTACTATTATACTAAGTAATAGTATAGTAGTCCCAGTTAGAATACACACTAAAAAATAATCAGTTGTTTGCTGTTTGAAGTTTTCTCAATATTTAATAAACTCATTAAAAAAAAATTATTGAATAACCCGCTTGCGCTTGTTGTTTTAACCATTTTCAAGTTGTTCTTAAAAAGGTGTGCGGATGTGTGAACAGCATGGACGTAATTTTTTTGGCTCGTTAAAAAATTAACGAAATTTATAAAAATGAACTTTAAAATTATATTGTGAGAATTAATTCTAGTGAATATACAAATGAACTGACTTGTTATACTGTATGAATTCAAAAAAGGATGGAAAAGGGACTCGTAAAAGGAAGAATTCGAAGGATCAAAATATCAGCGGTGAGAAACCACAAAAACAAACACAAAAGAGTAGTACTCACAACGTTAAAAATGTAAATAAACAATCGGTAGCAGTACATAACAAAACTAATCCTATATTAACTTCTACTATGACCTCTTATGACTCTTGTCAAATGATACAGGGAAAACAAAATAGTTTACTTGCAAAACATTATAATAATCATGGGTGCCGAATTAACCAGGTCCCGATTTGACTAGGTGCCGAATTGACTATACCGGGTGCCGATTTGACCAGGTGCCGATTTAGCCAGGTGTCGAAGTGAATAGAATTCCCCAGTCTCCTGTGTGGATGGTCCAGGCTCCTGTGATGATAAAAGTGAATCATCAAAGGAATAAAGATCTCTTTCTGACTCTAATTCAGATAGTTTCTTCATCCTTTCAAAGTTTTCTTTCTTCAGTTGAGCCAACTCTAATCGATTTTTTTAAGCTTCTCATTATTCTCATTGGTTTGTTGTACAGTTGGTTTTAGTTCCTCAGCCATTTGTTTTACATTTGACCCTAATGCTGTAATATCCTGTAGAGTTTTTCTCAAGTATCCCGTTTCTCTACTGTTCTGTCCTGACAAATTCATATTACTGATACATCCTTGAAGCTGGTAACCTCTATTTACGAGTTCTTCAGAAAGAACACAAATAGAACACCAACAGTACAAACAAAACATGTGTCATGTGACCCTTGTATGAAAGACTGTCATCCTCATAATGTTTTGCAGTATGATTGAGTTTGAATGAGCAAGCATACAGTAATCAAAGTTTTTGATATAAAAAAAAATTATGCAAAAGCACTATTATTCAATTAAGATGGGGTTGCACATGTTTTGTTGTTAAGAAGAATACCCCATTATATGTCCCTCTAAACAGGAAGTAGGTATCGGACTGCCCCGAAAATCAAATACACTTTACAACTCATCATTGTTAAGGAGCTGTCCAAATGTGAAGTTATTTTGGTTAGTAGTAATCGAGAGAAGTGTAACCAACATTTTTGGAGGACTAGGGACCAACGAACAAACAGACGAACGACCCCATACTATGTCCCTCTAAACAGGAAGTAGGTATCTGACTGTCCCAAAAATTAAATACACTTTACAACTCATCATTGTTAAGGAGCTGTCCAAATGTGAAGTTATTTTGGTTAGTAGTAATGGACAATTTTTTTGGAGGACTAAGTACCAATGAACAAACAGACGAACAGACAAACAGACGAACGAACAAACAATTGATGTAAACGCAGTATAATCCCTACTCTAGGGGATATAATAATATAATATTTCCATGTATATACAAGAAAAAAAAAGAACCAGAGTAAATATTAACAGTATCTCATTTGCCTCTACCACTGGGTAGGATCCATTCACCTGTGGGTGAACCAGATTATATTAATCAATATAGAAAGTCAGTTAAACAGCACTCAGTAGATCTACAATAATGAATACAAAGAGCACAGATAAAGGGCCTGAACTGTGCTGAATGTTTCTGATAACATCACCTGGAAGTCTACAATGATAAATACAAAGTGCACAGATAAAGGTCATGAACTGTGCTGAACGTTTCTGATAACATCACCTGGAAGTCTACAATGATAAATACAAAGTGCACAGATAAAGGGCCTGAACTGTACATGTGCTGAATGTTTCGGATAACATCACCTGAAAGTTTGAAATACAACATATATATATGAAACTGAGCAGTGTGTATTTTGCTCTGAATTTCAGCAAATCTGATGTTAGTATGGTAAGAAATATGTTAACCAACCACATTTCTTCATGTAGGGTCTATGCATCAAAAAACCTTTTAATAAAATGAATCCGTCTGTGCTAAAATATTTTTCATCTACTAGCCCAAACATCCAAAATAAAAAGTTTCAACTATATGTTCAAACAAAATTTCAGTAAATATTCTCTAGCCTATTGTCGTTTAAGACACAAACTGAAGAATTGTTAGTAAAAAAAAACAGAAACAGCATAAAAGTTTAAATATTTGTTCAATGGTTGATTTTGCATGCTGTATCATGTGTTACGTAATATATATGTTTGCTGTTTGACTTTGATATATTATGACAATAAAACTAGTTCTATTCTAAAAGAAACTTTTATTCTAAATTTAAAGAAACTTTTATGCTGTTAATTCAGGTATCATTTAAGAGGGGCCTTGTGTCAAATGGGAAATCAATTTTGATAATTGCCCATTGTAAATTGGCCATAATGACCCATTTGGTTTTTGTTTGCCTTATGCATATTTATAGAAAATTAAACATTAACATTGGTCCAACTTTTACTAAAACTACTGGGTCATTGGCCCATTCAACCTCGATTCCAAATTTATCCCTGTGACCCTTAGCCATGAGTGAATACACACGTGTTTCAAGCATTAAAAGATTAAACAGGTAGCATACGGTTATCAAGATTCTCATACGTGTACATTTGTAATTTAGTGATTATTTAATATAATGCTATCGTCATTTTATGTGTATTCTTACATGTTGTCCGGCGCTACTACATACCAAGACTTAAACTCAGTGTAGTGATAAAATAAAGCAAATCTCAAAGGTTCAGGTAATATAATACATGAGCAAAAATGCCACAAAGCTGTATAAAATGATAAAATGTCTTCACTACTAACAAAAATGTCTTGATATGATGCTTGGAGGTTAGGTCTGAGCACCTTGAAACATGTATAAACAATATGCTGCACAGCTTTAAAAAAAAAAGGATTAACAAACAAACATGAATCATGGTAAACAAAAGTTCCTAACTTTTAAACTTTTACTTACATTGTATTTGCAGCATATCTTCAATGTATGCATGGATGGACAGACAGTGCTTGACATATTATATGCTGCACCACTTGTATATTCTCCCAAAATCTCCCAAAATTATCTTCAAAACAGCAAATATTGATACAAATCTAAAGAAGACATTATGCACACCTTCAATCTAGGTACAAACAGACAGCAAAGTGAAAACTTCCTAGCATTCAAACTGTAGGAGGAGTTATGCGCAATAACTATAACGTTATGCTCCTCTTATACTCCAAAAATAACAAAGTTCAACTATCTCCCAAAAGAGCAAATATTAATCAAAATCAAAACCCTGACCACATGCACACCTTCAATATATGTACAAACATCCAGCAAAGTGAAAACTTCCTAGCAATCAATTGTAGGAGGAGTTATGCGGAATAACTATAACGTTATGCACCTCGTATACACCAAAAATGACAAAGTTCAACTATCTCCGAAAAAGAGCAAATATAAGTAAAAAACAAAACCCTGACCACATGCACACCTTCGATGTATGTACAAACAGCCAGCAAAGTGAAAACTTCCTAGCATTCAAACTGTAGGAGGAGTTATGGGGAATAACTATATACCCATAATGGGACGGATGGACGGACGGACAGGGGTAAAACAATATGCCCCAACTTTTAGTTGCGGGGGCATAAAAAGAGACTGCCATCTTTAAAAGTAAGAAGACTCAGAACAATGGCAAAAGAGGTTTATATTTAGGACAGTAAATCAGGACCATACAACATTCCTACATAGTTTGATAAACAGTAAAGAAACAAAATCATCCTTCAACAATGAGCAAAACCCATACCTCATAGTCAGCTATAAAAGGCACCAAAATGACAAATGCAAAACAATTCAACGAGAAAACTAAACTTCAACTCTGATTTGTGTTTAATTTGCTTTAGAGTTTTATGATTTGTGTTTAATTTACTTTAAAGTTTTATGATTTCTGTATGATTTGCTTTAGAGTTTTCTTATTTTTGTTTGATTTGCTTTAGTGTTTTATGTTGCTGCTTTAATGCGTTATAGTAGTGCTGCTAATAACTTTAAGTTTAGTTCTAATTAACTAATGCATAGTAGTTATATTAACAGTATTAATTAGAATTTGTAATTGTTTTACAAGACTGAGCGTGGAAATTTTCGAGTCGTGTATGTAACAAGAGTATTTCCACGCCACTGGCTTGTAAATCTGTAAATGTTTTGTTTCATATACATAGTCATGAAGTTCTTCTTGCGGCTCGTGCAATAAAGTATTTCGGAATTTTCTTAA